TACGTAAAGGTAGACAATGAAAGAAAGTTGTTATTCTTTTTCTGTTTTTTGAAAATTACTAGAACGTTCAAAACGTAACCCGTTAAGGTTTCAGCTGAAAGATATTACACTTTAAGATAACAGAAAACAGTGAGAACCCATTCACAACCTTTTGTCCACGAAACACGATTTCGTCCATGGCACTCTTGGCTTAAAAAAAACCCCCAAAAAATCCAGTCACTTGACTGATAGTTGGACATTATAAAGCAAGACGGAAACGTTTCCAGAAATGTTTAGTGCCAGTACAATCGTTTATTTTGGTAATTGTTTGATAATTATTCGGTAGGTTACTTTTTGGGAAAGTGCAATTCATCATAATGCCTCTAAGTTGATTTTTTTACAGATGAATAAATATTGAAAACAGAACGATGACAAAGATATTTATGATTTGTCACCGACGTAAATGTATGTAAATCACCTTTTTATCGACAATGTAGCCCCAGAGGGTAGCAGTCACAGCGTACGCAGCGCCCCAACCTGCAAACACCAGACTGATGCCAGTGACACTATAACCAAGCTACGGAGAACAATAATACCAAAAAGTAAACTGGACACAGCGTTATAGCAAAGCACAGGTATCTTGTTCGCGTTCAAAATATGATGCTTTTAGAGCATCCCATGTTCGGGCCGTTAGGCACATTGAGCTCCCAATGCTTGCAATAAAGCCCCGCCCCATAAACCAATCACTAAACCAACGCAACAAGTACGAGAAAAAGACGTTTAAAATGATCATCATTTTGTAAGTTGATGAAGGCTAGGGGCTACACATGTACCCTGTTCTAATTCTGAAGCATATAGCACTTAAAAACTGAATGCATTGGGTTTTTTAGCAACGCGCACCATCATTTTAGAACAGAAAATAAATACGAGGAATAAATGGACGAATTTGCTAATTGGTCTCTTTTTTTTCGTTTTCACGAACAGCCACTTCTCTTAATTGATTAATTCTGCAAAAGTAATCACCTGTTTTTCTTAAAGTTTGCTTTATTTCAGAAGATTATGATCTCTTCTTTCCTCTGATACCTAAATCTTGCATATTTTATGCATCTTTAGGTTTCAAATTGTCAAATGAAAAAAGGACCAACTTTAAATGCAATTCTCTGGAATGTTTGTTCAGACATTGAAATACTAGATTCGCCTCTTCTTGAAAACTGTCACGATTTGATAGCGCGTGGGGCAAAAGTTGCGTTACGCGCACCTTCACTTTTGTTGGTTTGTATGCAAAAGTGTATTTGTATGTCCAGAAAAGTATTTTTTTAACAGTATTAAGTTATTTCTCCAACAAAATTCAAAATGGGTTATCAAGCTGGATATTTCTTTCGACGTTTTGTCCATTTTTCCCTCGTATTTTATTTTCCGTTTCAAACTGCTGGTGCGCGTTGCTAATAAAAAAAAACCCTTGCATCCAGTTGTTTTAAAGAAGCACTGCGTCCTGAAATCCCCGAAAATGTTATGTTTTGGACTGTTTACTTAACCTATTTCAAACATCTGGTTGAAAGGAAACCATACTAATAATAATTATTTTATAATAATATTGACTTCTAAATACAGCGCTTATGTCCGTCACAAAATGATGTACTCTACCAACAATATGGCTCTATGGCTGTGCACGATCTCTTCAGCGGTTATCCTAAAACACCAACCTCGTCCCCAGTGCTTACTTTTTTTCCAACCGCATTTTCAATAGTAAGCCCTGGATAGGAAACTATCTTCCTGTATCCTGATTCGATACCGCAATTGGATAGTAATGGATTGTTATCGTGTACTTGGTTTTTTTTTATTCACAACGTGCAGTACGTGTTTGCGCGATCATTTCCTTTCCAATATTGTTTATATTAATAAGAGATGTAATACTCTATTTTGTCTCGATAGGATCGTAACAGTTTAAATGAAAAACAAATGTGTTTTCGTAACTCACGCCATGCTCTTGCTGCGACAAATTGACTCTGTTTTTACCCCAGACACCGCATACAAAAACAAACGCTAATGTAACGCACATGCAGGCACCAAACTATTCCTCATTTGCATACGTGTTCAAAAATCTTGCACATGCAAATGATCCAATACCAGGGTGAGAGAGCAGGTAGTGATGGGCGCGTACTGCTCGACACCCTGGGGACGAGGTTGCCTATCACACATGCTTCTTGTACGGAACGGCGCGTGCATCTTAATAGTGCAATATGCGAAGTGCAGTATGGACCGTGGCCGTAACACGGTTATTATGTAGCACGGCTTGTTGCCATGGATCGACCAATCAGGATCGAGGAATCAAGTTTACTTGATCATGAAAGGTAGAGTACATCATTTGTCATTTTGTGCCTTTTTTTTTTCGTTTGAAGCAACTAAAGTGCTCAAATCTAAAGAAGGGTGCTTAACAACTAACCCAATGAAGTCAGCTCAGTGAATGCTGTAAATTCCGAGAAAACGATTCAACGATCTCGAAAAAACTTGCCGAGTCATGTTTTGAATTGCGCGCGAATCAGCGTCCGGGGCAAGCCGCGTTCTCAGTCAGTCGATTGCAGCTATAGGCGATGTCAAGCTCTGAACTGACAAAATAATAGCAATCGCGCGCGTGTGCATCGTGTCAACACTTGTACGCACTCATTCACAGCTTTGCCGAATTAAAAACGAACTACTAACGGACATTTCCAAAAATGCGTCTTTAGACGCGTCGTTGGAAATGACAAGTACCAGTGCATCTTTAAACCAAAATTTGTTTTCAACAATAATTTTGTCAGTAACTTTTTGGATCGCTGCAAATGATGTACTCTGCCTTTAAGCATGCTCCCCGCGTGTTTCTTGGTGAATCATAAGACGTCATTATTTGGTTCTGCGATCAGTGTCACCATGGCGACATACCTGCTTAAGATGAAGTGCCAGCACTGGGTCCAATGCAGAGTACGCAAGAAAGCTGAAAGAACTGGCAAGTAAGACTACCCAGACAGCTGGCAGCTTCATAACTTCAATCATAGGCCCGGTTTCCTCATGTTGGCCCCCTTTCCAAAGAAATTATTTTGTCTTGATAACATAATTGGAGCAGCAATAACACTCTGTTTAAAAAAAACGATAACAGAGCCTGAAAGTAAGCCATTTTCTCTTTAAGCTTCTGGACCCTCCGCGACCCTTCTATGGACAGTGTACATGGGGTTGCCATTTCTCTTGCTATAATTTTTGACAATGATTTCCAACCGTAATCACCGCAAGAAACGTTCATGCTGAAATTTTATCGTGGCATTCCACAACAAAATGATGACAAATGAGTTGGAGATGAGTAAAAACGAATTTTACTTACAACCTTTTATATCTGGATTTCCGTACCTATAGGACTCCTTTTTCGCTTACGTTTGTTGTCACATCCCTTTACTTGGAACGAAAATGATTGCGACGCGAAGATTTACCTACCTATACCGATGGATATAGATTACGTTGGGTTTGCTTAAGTTCTTATCAACGGTCGCCCTGAATCCTTCAAAATCCTCTTTGCCAAAGTGGAGGAATTTGGAGGATTGAAGTTACACGGCAAAAGTGCGTTACTGATTTCGTAGGATGCACTTTGTCAGGGTCTTGGGCCGTACCTTGCGTTGTTTTTGCTCAGCCATGCATAAATATAGGCTTGGATTATGCTTGAAATCCTCTGTACTGCTCCAAGATGTCACTGGCCAAGCCTCAACATATTGACAGCCAATGCCGCAGGATTTTGCAGGATTCAGGCTGTGGTCACCCCTCCACGGACCATATTCAAGAAACAATGGAGGAATTTGCAGGATTGAGGATATATGCTATTTTTTTATGAGGCCAATTGGAGGATTTTGCAGGATTGAGGCTACATCCTAGCAAAAAAGGCCTAGGGAGTTAGGGTTAATTATTTCTTCAAGGGTAAATTAGTTCTTCAAGTTTATTAAAAAAAGATGTGTGTCCCAAAAGACATCTTTGTCTCCTATTTAATTTTCAGTTTTTACCCAATGACCGCCACAAAATTATTTCATAAATGTTTATCTTTGTACGAGTGCTCCGAGTTCCAATAGTCCTCATGTATGTTGGATTTTCGAAAGTGAGGGATCAATTTTTGGTACCATATTTCTCTTTTACGTCAAGTGATTTTTTCGGTTTCCACACATTGAGATGCTAGTAACAATATAAAGGCCATTTCCGAGGGTGATCTTCTTAAAAATCAATGTTCCAAAAGTAATTTTTAAAACTCCGACTTTTACACGCTAATTTTCCTATTCGAGGGTCCGGAAGCGTGCCACCAGGGGTCAACTTTCAGGCTCTATTATGCTTTCGTGTGCAACCTGACTCAACAGTAATTTCTGCTATATGTGTCGATGTGGTGAGTCATTAATATGGAGACACCACAACGTATGTTGATTTGGAAGAAAAACCGTTTTCGAGGTAAACGCAAAACAAATTTTTTCATATTTTAAAACTGCATAAAAGACCACTTTGAAACAATTTTGTGCAGCAAGGAAACCATCACACGATTGTATGAGAGCTGACTTTTTACGTGAACCCAGTAATTATACCTAATACAGCAATTATTGTAAAACTTATTATGCGGCTCTTCGTAAAAACGAAAATTTAGGTTTCCGACATTTTGGCCATTTCTGTTTAACGTGAATTTCCATAGGCGCGCGTGAGTACGCGCGCGCAGCTGAAAATGTAACAAAGATATTATGTGGCTCTTCGTGAAAACGGAAATCTCAGTTGACCTACTTTTACGTATTTCCGTGCAAAGGTTTTTGTACACGTTCAAGGGGCCAAATGTATGTGCTCTTCGACAAAACGCAAAATGCATTTATCGAGATTTCTGCCCCTTGCAACATTAATGTTACTTGGAAATCAATGATGTTTTGCTTACATTATGGTTAAGAACATTGTTTTAAAGCAAAATATTGAAAAAAAATCGAAATCGAAAAAATGGTAATTTTGACATGTGTGGCTCTTCGTGAAAACGGTGACGGTCAGGAGGCTTCGGGCGTGTTTAAGTTGGTGTTGTCGTGGGTGTTGTCATCGGCATGGTCGTGATCGTGGGCGTAGTCATTGGCATAGTCGTGGGTGTGGTCATGGGCGTGGTTCTGAGCGTAGCGACAGGCTAATAAACTGCTCACAACAACCCCTGATAGTCACTTGATCCGTATGAGGACATTGTGTTTGTGAAGAAAAATAATTCTTTTTGAATCAATCTTACCAATCTTCGGCATCAAAAAGTAATTGACAGCAACACAAGCCCAGACAAACCCGCCATTTACAAGGAACGGGAGCTTAAAACCGCCGGCCTGTTCAGAAACAAATGCGTCTGTTATCAGTGGTGAATATTAAAGAGGAATGAATTCACAGATGGGTTCACGAATGGCCACTTCCATTGATGCACAACATGGAGTTTGATAAGTCATCAGGGCGTGGGCATGGATGTGGTCATGAGGGGGCAGAAGGGGCGGGGCTGGAATGGCTTGTTGGTGAGGTGGGTGGGGGATGGGAAGGGATTAATCAAAATCTCTCGAGATGTATACAATTGTACTTGTTTTGTTTTTTAGAGTTGAGTTACAATACTTGATTGATAATACTTACATGATATAAGAGTCCGCCTATTACTGGTGCAATTGTAAACGACGTCCCGGTGACAGTTTCCATCAAGCTCTAAGTTGTACAAAACATTGAGAGAAGACAGAAAGGAAAACGCATGCTTACTGTAAGGTAAGTGGTCATGATTACTGCACCAAAAACAACAGACAATTGGGAGTTTTAAAACCTCGGCTTCGTCTTCAGCTGTCACACTGTGGAACTTAAGGCCCCTTGTCTTTGGAGGACTGCGGCTCATAATCGGTCCACAATTTGCAACAAATCAAACCCTACGAGATGAAGCAAAGCCGTTGGTATGTTTCCATTTGGCTAGATAGACAAACTTCTTTCAGTAAGTTAGCCGAAGCCGGACCCCCGTTTTTCGAAAACACCGTCTACATGTGTTATTATTCCTTAGTAAAATATGTACTTACTGTTGCAACGCCGACCTTATCCTTGAAGGTGTAGGTGAGAATGGCACCTATAGCAGTATTGCAGGCGGACGATCCAAGGCCTTCTAGGGTCCGTATGGCAAAAGTGAAACCTGTAAAGGTTGCCAATGTAGGCATATCCACAACGAAGCTGCAAGAAGAAGAAAATGACTTGGCTTTTAATATATTCACTGACAGGCTTTAATATATTCACCTATTTTTTTTGCATGAGTGTGGCCTACACGTGTTATGATAAGCCGGATTTAACCCTTTCATTTGCATATGGGGTAATCGTGCACATTTCAAACGTTTAGGCCACAATTAGACTTAAAGAGGTTGTGGAATGCTGAAAATCGTTTTGTTTTTTATATTTTTATATTGTAGAGTAGACCCATATAATTATATCATAATGACAAACTCCCATCTTTTCTAATGTGCGTTTATATGTTTATAAAACTGAAATTCATCGAGTAATTTGTTGGTCGGCGAGCGCATAATTGAAATCAACAGTCGTCGGGCTCTTCGTAAAATCAGAAAAAGCGTGACGTAATAAACAGGACTCGTTTATACAACGACTGTTTACTGCTGCCCAACCCGCCCCGTCCGCACGTGTGACTCGCAGTCAAGCAGTGAAAAAACATTTTGTAAAAGACTCGCGGAGATTGATATTCCTTCCCATTGCTTAATTTTTGGATGAGTATTGAACAAGGACACGGTGACCTCTGAGCTGTTCTTCCGTATAAATTTGAGCCCCAACTGCCCGAAAAAGAGACCAGCGAAAACACGGATACTGCAACTGGCCAGCTGAAAACGCCAGGCAACGCGGCTCTGATGAGTGGTAGGTCTGCGACGTTTGCGTGAAAAAAACAAACGTTTTATCCAAGGACTCAGTCAAAGTATTATGTTCATGATAACATTTTTAGATGAGCATCAACAGTCCTATCGCAACTTTCTTCGTGATTTACAGACAATCTCGTTATTCTTGTGAATATTCAGTCCAAAGAGACGACAAATCGTCAGGTTGTTTTCGAATTATACGCGTACGGCACGCATAACGCATCACGGCAGTGGATGTGGTCGACCGTGTCCAGAACTAATGTTGTACGGTTAGCAGCGTCGCGGGCCCGGTCAAGTTCCTTGCGTTGCCTGGTGCTTTTTATGTATACGTTCGCCACAAAAAAATAGTCCTCTTCTCTTTTCTTTCCTTGTGCATTTTAACCCTTGTTTTAACATCCTGAAACGATAATTACGAATTTACTTGAATTTTGAAATTGTTAACTTTATTGTTTACCAAAAAAAAAGCCGTAAAACAACGCCAGAAGACCATGGGACTACCGCTTCACCTCGACCTGTAAACGTGGCTACAAAAAAAAGTACAATTCATAAATCATAGTCATGCTCCGTTCATAAAACAAAAATCTCTGGACTTAACGACATTTTCGGGATACCGGTTGAAAACAAAATTCACTGGTCCCGAAATTTAACGAGCACTTTCATTATTTTCAGTACCTAATTAAGACTTTATTCAAGAAATTCCAGTGGCAGAGAATTTGTCATTCGATCAAAAGAAGTTCTAGGGAAAATGGAGGCCTGTCACATTAATCAGCACTAACGTAAGGAAAACTACGCGGTCCTTTTTCTACGCATTTACCTTCAATTTGTGTGTGACAACGCGTGCGCGTATGCTGCGCAGATAATGGAGGGTCGAGGATACATTTGAACGGGTCTACGGTTCTTCAAGATTGGCAATGGACAAAATTTGGTCCAAAACAGTCTTCCCTATAAATCATTGACAAATCATATCTCTATTATTTCTTGTCCAATTTCAACAAATCTCTTGAGAAAAGAAGACTCTTGCCGTACAAAATGTACAGTGCATGATCAGCGCTCTATCCGTTAATTTGGCTGAAATCCGATCTCGTGTTTCGCACGGTACTCTTCGGACAAACTGCATGGCTACGGAGGATTCTTATTCCTCCATGCTGACACCCCGCCGGAAGGGAAAGCTGGAAATTTATTGCAAACTAAATGTGGTGTGATTACAGCCAGCGACTGACACAAGTATAGGCATAGGTTTGCCTTGGCCTAGTGCGTTTGCTACCCGTACACGTATCAACAACGAATTATTTTGAAATTCCAACACCGTTTACCGGTGTCAAAATCTACGGTCCCAGCGGCCGGGCCAGCGGCACAAGTACACCCGTGAATTTCCAGCCAGCTTTACATAGCGCGTGTCACGGTGATGCGATGTGCATGTGATCGTGAACGATCGAACGATGTTGATGTAACGCAGACATTTCTTACTATGGTTGGCCGTTAGGGCAAACACAAAAGAATGATCCCCGATCTATAAATGAAATGATGTGTAACTATCAAAACACTGAATAATCAATAGAAAGTACCAAAAAGTCAATGGAGATATCTTCCTATTAAATTCTGAACTTGCCCATTAGAATTTCGGGGGTAAAAGATGTTGCCAACTACGGTTGAATTTATGGAGCATGTGGCTGCCCATACAAAATGTCCCTCAGTGTAATTGTAAACAGAGTCATGTCGTTGCGCGGAGTGATTTGCAAAAAGTTTCGCTGGAACTACGCTGCATCGGGAGTCCTGTTTATTACGTCACGATTTACTATGTTTTGTTTGCTGCCCCCAGCGACGACTTTTACACAAATTGCAAGTTCGGGTCGAAACAGCTCTCAAAAGTACCTTTTATTCATTTCATGACAGAAACAATAGTCGTTTTTATTTCATCACACCCTAGGCTACATATACCCGAAAAATGACGGAAATGTCTTCGAGCATTCCACAACCTCTTTAAGAAGGTTTAATTCACAAGTGATAGTCAGTGAGTGAGTCTGTTTTTGGACAGTCAGGTTGGAAGGGGAGTGTAAGCCGGCCCCCCTGGGACCAGCAAAATATACATGTATCTCTTCAGTTAATCGTTCTCAAAACCCAATAAAGAGTTTAAAGGGGAAAATGATACATTACATATATCAGTACGGGGTCTACCCGACGTTCCCAAATACCGATGTTTTCCAAAATCCTTAGGATGAGGTTTAGAGTTAGGGTTGGGGAACATAGGTATTGGGGAACATAGGTATTGGGGAACACAGGTATTGGGGAACATAGGTATGCACCCATCAGTACAACGCCAAAGACAAAACGAACACTATGGGGTCCATTAAAACATATTCGTAATAGTGGTCGTTATTGTTATTGTGCGTTATCATAACATTTAATGTTTAGAGAGTCAAAGGGGATGTTCGTTATATATTAGCCAAATGTTCGTTATTGTGGTGTTATAGCGCTGTATTCCTTATTCCTTTCAAGGAGGGGTTTTCTTTTAAAGGGGGCCTGATTTGCAATAGAATGAATAAACATCTTGTAAAGCAACAGAAAGCAGCAATGCCAGCAGCTAAAACGTACCCCAGCAGGACGCTGCAACCGCCGGTGACAAAAGCTCCCGCAAGAAATACGAAACGGGCGCCAAAACGTGGCAGCTGGGGAAGAAAACAAATGAATGTAAACAATAACCTTAATTTACCTTTATGTCACATTATCCACTAAACCAGCGACCACTGCATAGGTGGGCAACGGCACGTGAACCTCTGTGCCACACTTTATGAACTACGGCATGAACTTGATCGCGGTTGTGGTTGGATGTACGTGAATCGGTTTATTAGATGCGGGATCAACAAATCATCAAGTCGGTCGGTCCGTCGATCGGTCGGTCGGTCCGTTAGTCAGTCAGTTACAAACGTTGACATGCCGACCTAGCAAGTCTCACGCATATGGCGTGTCACACGCCTCAGAGTCGATGACACGTCACAAATTACTGAAGCAGATTTCCGAGAATCTCTACAAGACGGTTTATCCTACAATCTGTGAACCCCCCCCCCCCTCGGTTCTACGGCTTACCTAAGATACATTCCCCCTTCGCCCCATCGTATCTAGGATAGGTTAAATGTGCCACTGCTTAGCAGCTACAGTTCCAGTGTCATATCCACCTCGGTTGGGAACACGGAGCATCACAACCGAAACTCCCAGGATTTCGCGGGCCAAGTTAGGGACATGAAGGTGCTTCGTACAGATTGTTAAGTGTCATGTGATGTGAGTGCCATGCCCAGTGGATAAAGCCATCCCAATCATCAAAGAATGACTCGAGAACGCTCCCACCCTACATGACCGCACTGGATTTGTCCCCGAAACCCATTGTCCAACTCTTGAAATTATTTCATGTCAGCAGAGAGGGCCGACATTGGATCCTCTGTGTCACTAGCTGGGCCCAATTTTACGGCGCTGCTAAGCACAAAAAAATTGCTTAGCACTAAAAAGTCTGGCTTATAGCAGCAGGTTATCAGTCAAAACTCCATGTGATTTTCATGCTAAGCAAACAACAGCTAAATATTAATCACGAGCAATATGCATCACGTATAGTTTTGGCTGGTAACCTGCTTTTATAAGCCAGACTTTTTTGTGCTAAGCAATTTGTTGTGCATAGCAGCGCCTTGAAATTGGCCCCAGTCGTAGCTAGCCAACAAGTCAGCAATATCCGCGACCATACGCGGGCAACGTACAGGACACACCATTCACTGGACTGGTACACGCATCAGTGACCAGCACCCGATTTCACCAAACTCTTCGTAACTTACGATGCATCGCAGCGCTGCGACGCGTCGTATCTCTACGATGCGTCGCAGCTGCGACGCGTCCTACGATCCATTTCACTAAACACGTCGTAAGTGCGACGCGTCGTAGGTGTATTTATAGCACAACTCGGTGACTGTTTTATGTCTTTAGTCAGCGTACAGTAAATAGTCGTCTGATATTCAACAAAAAGTCGTCGGATCTCAGCTCGAAATTTGTTAAAACGTAAAACAAAATGGCGGCCGTGCGATGCAATTGTGAAGGAAAACAAGCTCTCATTGGACTGTATAGCTACTTTGAAATTTCAACTCTAATATTCCGGTCTAATTCATAATTCAATGAATTTTCTATTTACAACTTTACACACATTGCCTCGGTATTATAATCTCGTTAATGTAATGTTTGTGGCATAAAACTGGCTTAGAAATGACTCTTCTTATTTTGCGATGACCACTAGACACGTCGTAACTTGCGACGTGTTTTAAGCCGTTGTCAAGGAACTTGCGACGCGTTCAACACATCGCAACTTTCGTGAAATGGAAGATACTTACGCGTCGCGAGTTGCGACGTGTTACACGTCGTAACTCGAGTTGCGACGCGTCGCAGCGCTTCGTGAAATCGGGTGCAGCACCCGATTTCACTAAACTCTTCTTAACTTAAGACGCGTCGCACGGTTTACGATGCGTCGCAGCCCTGCGACACGTCGTAGCTGCGACGTGTTCTGCAAACAATTTCAGTAAACGCGTCGTAAGGGCGATGCATTGCATTTTCAGTTTTACTGACATACATTTCTTGGACGAGCCTAATTCTTTTCTCACCTACAACAATTTTATGTTTGAAAATGTTTTAGTCACAAAATAGTCGTTGGAATCAACACGTCTGCAAAACGCGGGAAAAACTTGAAATGATTGGAAGAAATTTGCTGTCCAAAAGTGTCATCTTTTGATGTCGTCTGCTCTCATCTGCCTGCAATTTTCATGGTAAGTTTAGTGCATTGATTGTTATGGGAGTTTATTTGGATCGGCGTAGTGATTCTGTCGCGCGAAAACTGAACGAAATCAGCAGGAACTGAGAGTCGGAGTCATTAGACATTACGAACGGAGCACATTGGAAAATGTGGAAAAGAAACGGTCTGAAAACTGGACCCAAGAAGTCGCTGTTCTGTGCCAGTATGTCATGTAATGTGCACGAGCACTTGAATGAGCTCTTCGGAAGCAGTTGCAAAGGCAAAAAATCAAAGGCAAACGTGGAAAAAGTATAAAAGATCCACTATTGGAAAGAGGCAGGGAAAGTACTTGTTGAGAATGGAGGCATTCCCAGCGATTACCAGAAAATACGAAAGAAATGGCAGGATATGACCAGGAAAGCAAGGACGTATCACCGAGACATGAACAGAACAGGTAAATATTATACTTTATAAAATAGCCTATTAATTAGGCCTAACATTAGGCCTATTATTATTAAATATTTTATTATTTTTATGTTATTTCTAGTTAGGCTATAAGACCTAGAACTAGTTCAACATGAAAAGTCAGATAAGCCTATAGGAAAGAATGTGCAAATCTGACACTGCTTTTTTTCATCAATCATCTCAACGACAACTGAAAAAAGGGTCCTACTAAATTCGTCAACAAGCATCAACAGTAATTGTCAACAAGCATCAACAAATTTTGTACAGCCTATGCTTTCGAAAATTAAAAGTAGCTTTATAATACATGGTAGAAAAAGCAATAAAGAACATCTTCTGCAAATCTATTCAAGTTGAAATTATTTAAAAACTTGTTTTTTGAACGCGAAATGTACGACAAGTTTGTCGAGTGTTGCCCCCCATCTTGTTTGGATGGCGCTGTACACTTCACGCATGCGTAGTATGGCTCTGTACACTTCAGGCATGTGTAGTATGGCTAGCTTCACGTAAACAAAATGGCAGCCAACACAAACTCGACAGGTCGTCGTACGTTTCGCGTTGAAAAAAAAACAACTTTTGAAATAGTTTTTACTTTAAAATATATGCTGCAGGTGTTCTTTGTTGCCATTTGTACTATAAAGCTGTTTTAGATTTTCCAAAACTTCTAAGTTCTACAAAATTTGTTGACGCTGGATTGACGACCGTTGAAGTTTGTTGATGCCAGTTGACACTTATTGACGCTTGCTGACGCATTTTAGTAGAACCGACTGAAAATGCTTATGACAGGCATGAGATTCTTTCTGTTGAAACAGGGATTAATTGTTTTGTTTTTGCTTTGTTTTTTTTTTGTTTTTGTTGTTTTTGGCCAAAATTTTTGCACTTTAATTTATTTTTAGCCAGTTATGGGTGTGTTGGGGTTTTTTTTGGCTTGATTGCACACATTTTTACCCTTTTGGAACAAATTTCATGTATTTTTTCATTGCAATTCATTCTCATGCCTGAAATGAGTATGAACCTAGACCACTTTCTAAAGTTGTTGTTGTTTTTATACAGGAGGAGGTGAGAAGCCAGCCACAAACAAGACATTCGATCTTGTTTTAGAGGCATTGCTGCCCATTGCCAAGGATGGCATCCTTAATCAGGAGGAAGGAGAAACAGACCCACTCCCACCAGAAGTTGATTTCCTGATGGACATAGTCGCTGAAGATAAGAATGCTGACAGAATACTAGAAGCGCTACAATTTTTCAAAAGAATATACAAGACTAACAGTTCAGAGAACTTGTTTGTATTTCTTGAAAGAAATACTTCATATTTTTGATAATTTAATATTTTTGTAAATATAATTTGTTTCACAAAATAAATATTTGCTTTCAATCACTATAATAATAAATCATTAATACATGCAATACATATAATTGGACATTAATATGATCAATCTTAAATCTTAATAAATCTGTTTTTCTGTATATCTTTTGTTTTAAGCCGTCACAACTGCTGAGATTAGAATAGAAGAGGAGTTCGACAAATCGACATTGCAATCCTCCTGATTTGAAAATCACAGGTGTGTGGGAAAAGTCATATCCTGGTGTGTGCATTATAACTGAATTATCCCATTCGATGGCGTAGAGGGGTATCCTATACGATAGCAATGGCAAGCACTCGAGTTACAGTCGGGGGGAGTCAGTCAGTCAGTCGGGGAGTCAGTCGGGGAGTCAGTCAGTCAGTCAGCGAGATGGACACAAAATGACATTAGGCAGGCCATCTTTGACCACCAGCGACAATGAAAGAAGGCAAGCAACCACGACAAAACCCAACAAAGAGCAGTGGTAAACGTTATATACAGGTATAATCAAATCTAAAAGTCTTACAACTTTGCCCCAGATCGGTGCACCTATACCAGACGCGATGAAGTAGCAGCTAAACACAAGTCCTACGACCGTCTGCGACATTCCTTTCGCTTCAGCCTGCGAAACGTGTGAAAAAAATAACAAATGACCATTTGTTTAAAGGTGAATAATGGCGCTGTATGTAATGACGTCATTTTCTGGGTAAATATCACAAGTGTAAAGACTACGCTTATATTTGTTTTCCATGGAAGCAATGTAGCAAATTGCCTTTTCTTGACATTCATGATTGTAAAAAGGCAAGTTACGAATTAAAGCAACAACTTGCATGTTCATGAATTACAATTGTGTTTTTTTTGTAAGCCACAAACTTTAGCTGGACAGCGCCCTCATCGGTCGTCGTTGTTATAAAAGGGGAAAGTGCGACACCAAGCGTGTGCCTCAAAGACGCCATTTGTTTTTATTGTCAACTTGCTTTTGTCCTGTAGTTTAATAGTCGGCCGCCACCGTTGTTTTGACGTTCGGTTTTTACCCACCTCTGTCGCAAAGAAAACTGAAATGATGGCATAGGAACTCCAAGTTGAGAAGGAAGTCAAACCTGCGCTGAGAAAGATGATCTTTTGGTGAAAAGTGAACTTCGACCTTGGAGCGGCAGCAGAATCACCATCACTTGCAGCAGCTGGGTTGCTTGGATTTGTGGGCGTGACATCGAGTGATGTCTCTTGCCATTGGTTGTTTTCCGTGACCTGATCGTTGCCGTTTGGGGCTATGGGCGGGGCATTTAGATTGGACTCTTCTGATGGGCTGCGGTCGGCCATGCTTTATTCACGAAACACCTCGTTCTGAGTTGTGCTGTGATATATTATTATTCAATTCGTAGATTCTTTGGGGGAAGTGAAAAGAAACAATAACTGTCCAAAAACAATTTGGTGCATGTATACGTTATAATATTTTGCATAGTTCTTAACATATCGGCCCCATTTATAATTGAAGGGTGTTCATGCCATACACAGATGAACTGTATTGTCTGGCAAACTGCATTCTCATATAAAGCCGGCTCGGTTCAAATATTAGATGCCAGAGTTTACTCAGACTGAAGCATATTGTAATACTTAAGAATAATTTCAAACAAATCAGCCTCTTACTCGATCCCTTTTGTGAAACTTTTTTTTTTTAAACAAAACTCCCCACAACTTCCAACATGTAAAACAACAACATAAACAAATCGTCGCATATCTGACGAACCGACGAATACGCGCGAATACGCGGAAACGCAATTCTGAGAAAAACGCGTTTGAAGTTGAACACTTTTTACGTGTCCCTTTTCGATGCTACTTTCGCCTTTTGTACATTCTTAATTTATGCAAGGTAGTTATTTGATTGTTAAAATACATCTATTACTTTGTTTTTTGCTCGTAAGACTAAAGGTTTGTCTAATTTTTGCTGTGAAACTTGTTCGTCACTTCGCGAGATAGCAATAAACGTCATTGTGCTTATTCGCCACGTAAAAATGTCTTATTCGTCACTTTGTCAGATAACATTTTGACTGTGCGCGCGTTTTCGCATCACAAATCCATTGCATATTCGTCACTTCTTTACAACACTACGCGCATTTTCAAAGAAATGTGTATTTTTACAAACATTTTCTATTTTTTTTTAAGGAAAAAATATGGTAACACTTAAACCCCACGTTCAAATCCAAGTACTTGCTATAATTTTTAATAATATACAGTAGCCTAATAAAAAAGTTGTTATAAAGGAAAATATCTCGAATGGACGCAACAAAATAATAGGAACACAAAACTGTGAATGCGAACTAACGACGAACAACGTTAACACTATTTATTCATTCATTTTTTCATTCATGTAAGACAGCAATTCTTTTAAAAACAATCAGTTTTGATTCATAATCCCATAATTATTGTCTTCCAGGGTACAATAATCTTAGTAAAGGCTTGTTATCATTAGGCATTCTGCTTTAATTAGCCGCTTAAAGGGCTCCGTTTTCAAAAATACAAAACCTGTATCTCGAAATGCAGTATTTTGGGTATCCTATAAAACGTCGTCTTTGAAAGAAAGTGTACCGCACACGTTGAAATAGTTTACATTTTTATTTCATTATCCTAGTCATCACTCACCAGCTAGGGCACTCTTTATTTCAGTAAAGGCTCATTCCAATGAGGTTTTCTGCTTTAATTAGCCACTTAAAGAGGCTCCGTTTTCGAGAATATCTCAAAATGCAGTATTTTGGGTTTCCTAAAAAACGCCGTCTTAGCAAGAAAATCTACAAATAAAACATATTTTTATGTCATCATCCTGAGTATCACCTTCCTGGGCACTCTTCATTTTCGTTATGGGCTTATTCCTATGAGGCCTTATGCTGAAATTAGCCACTTAAAGGGGTTCCACTTTCGAGAATATCTCGAAATGCAGTATTTTGGGTCTCCCATAGAACGCAGTTTTTAAAGAAAGTGTACCGCACATGTTTTGAATAAATATTGTTTTTTATTTAATAATCATATTTTCACCTTCTAGGGTGCACTTCATTTCAGTATGGGTTTATTCCAATAAGGTCTTTTGCTCTAAGTAGCTGCTTAAATGGACTCCGTCGAAATGCAGTAATAATGCTTCCCTATAAAACGCCGTTTATGAAAGAAAGTGTACCGCATGTTTTAAAAAAATATCCTAATTGTCATCCCTTAGGGGGCACTTCATTTCAGTATGGGCTGATTAAAATGAGGTTTTCAGCTCTTATTTGCCACTTAAAGGGGACCGTTTTCGCTATTTTCTCGAAATGCAGTAGGCCTTTTGTGAAATTCCTATAAAGGGCCGGTTTTGAAGAAAAGTATATCGCACGTTTAAATGAATCCCAGTCTGTATAAGCCTATCCGTCGCGCAGTCCTAGCCTAGTACATTTTGTACTCCGTTCATTTTAAGATTACAACTACACACACACAAAATTGCATAAAGGTGAAGTAGTAACGGTTATCTCTTTTTAGTCATCTTTATAATGTTACAGCGCCGTTAGTTTGTTTTGAAAGCTGACGGAAACATCCCTGGTTCCCTCATGCGCCATTCAATTATTAAGACGAGTGTGTGCGTAACCAATGAATAACTGGTTATTCGTCACTTCGTCAGATACTGGATGCGCGCTGTTCTGATATGACCAAGTGTCGAATAAGTTATTCGTCAGTTCGCAAGAAACAGTTTTTTCAATATGTGCCGATTCGTCACTTAGTGGGTTTCGGAACTACAAAAATGAAGTGCTTTCATGAATTAAAAACCAAAAAATCTGAAAATTCGAATATTTTTAACCCTAAAACTCAATTAATAAAAAAAACCACCAAATTACCGATTCGTCACTTCGTCAGATATGCGACGAAATATAGTCTCAGACTACTGCGCCAACCTACATTTACCATGCGGAAGAAATATTATATATAACAAATGAAGACAATGAACAACCAAAAATAGGCCACTGCGGACATATAGGAAGCTCTAGCACTGCTTAATCAACTTCCAAAGTCTATTTTGGTTTTGGGGTACTGAATGGCACGCACAGCAATTTTCAACGGAACGTGCACACAAACATGCATATAGATTTTTCACCCGACCATGCCAAACCAAACCTTGCTCAAATAGGGTGTCACTAAAACCAACCCCAATCCTTTTCTCATGGAGTTAGAGCCAATAAGGCACTTGGTTAGACTGTTCGTTTACAGTTCGGGTATTTTTTTATGAAAATATTAAATTCCTACCTTCGTGTCTGTCAGTATATACACGCACTGGCTGTACTACTTGGGTCCTATTGCAATACGTCTGCAATGCATCCATACGTACATGTACGTAGGCGCCCTTCATTGACTGTTGAACCAGAACGGCCACTCATTATGTGTACTAGTGTAGCATGGGACTTTTGTGTACGAATTATATAAAAACAGTGTTTTTATATTCCAAACAGTGCGACCCTTATGTCGCAACTCTCTATATACGGCTCTGACTGTATCCGATGGTCGCACACCGGTAAATAGGCCTAAATCCCTCCGCCGATTGAGCTCATGAATATAAAAATATACCCTCAAAATATTCTTTATTTCAAGAGTTCTGAAAGCCATGAAATTGGGGAATTGAAGAGATGTGACATCGAAACTCTGGCCCGGACTTGGGGCTTCCAATTCTAGGCAGTTAGGAGGCAATTAGGCTCGAAAGTGGCGCTATTTTGCCATGTTGTGGAGGGGTCGTTTTTCAAGATGGCTACTTTTCCGCTTTAGGGAAAATAGGGGTCGTCTTCTTTGGGTGAAAATTTCTCAAAAATTCAATGTCAACACACCAACAAATGAAAAAAAAAGATGACATGCTGATCATCATTTTTGTGTTCAGCTTAAATACCTGTGAGAGTTCGGAGTATTGTTAAAAGAATTTTGAATTATGTGCATCCTGATAGGGGTACATCCTGATAGGTCATTTTGAAGTTTAGTCACACCGCACTCTGCTTGCACCATCCAACTTTGTGCCCACTCGGCCCGGATCAGGGAACGGTTCTTTGTATTATAGTCTATTATTCAGCTATGAATAGACGACCGACATCGTTTGTGGGAAACCGGTGGACCAAAGCAATTAGCCTCAAGAAGCTTTGACCCGAAAGCAATAACCTCGGCCACGACAATGGTGGCAAAGTTGATTATGCTTGCCACGATTTTTTCCATTCGATCTTTCAATGGGGTCAAATGTTCACACCTTTCCCCTAAAGGTGTTTCTTTTCATTTCAAAATTTCATTGACGTTCCTAGCATTCTGTACTCACACATCCCCTAACCTAATAGGAGTGGGACGGGCTTCCATTGAATATGCTTAACGCCAATTCCAGTGTAGTTTCGTTTTAATAAAAAAAGCTATTCATGTTTTACACTCTGCACATGCAAGTTTTCCTCATAAAAACTCAGTAGACCGATAAATCATTGCCTAGCCCAAAACTTGCCATCTACCTATCATAAACATCAAGATGCATTTGGTCTTTTAGTCTTTTATATTTGCCATTCCCTGTAACTAACCCCTAACCACAGTGAAATTCTATGCTTTTTACATCATCGTATCATCTTTTTCAGTCCTAATGTGAGCAAAAGTGCCCACCCTGAAAATCGGGATGAGTTACTCTTTTGTTTGGTGTTACTTGTGATACACATAAACGCTATTTAAGGGTATAACTCACCGACAGAAAATGCCGAAAATAGCTTCGCTGTCATGCACTCTTCCTGCGACATGCCCACAAACAGTTTGTACAGCATCCTATGGGATTTGCGAGAAGGTCGACTATTGGGTGAACTTTTTGATGTCTAAATTGACGGAGGGAAATTTCATCCAATCAAAATGGCTTTCTTATCAGTAAAATTCTTGTGACCTGAATTTTGTTTTTAGCGAAACAATTTTTCGGTAGCTGAGGGGGTTTCTTAGTACAATCCGGAGAAGACTGCCAAGCTGCCAAATATTTAGCGAGTTTTCAGCTTTCACACACAAAAACACATGCTGGACCGGAAAATGATTCTTAAAATGACGGAGGTATTTTATCTTTATTCTTTCCAAAAATGAGATGACTTGGAAGAGTGAAGGATGAACTTTTTCTTTCTGCAAGCAACTAAATTATACAGTGAGCGAGTATTGGATTATGATGACGAAAGAAGTCCAGAATGGGTGTTTTTTAGGCTGAAAACGACACGTGCTGTGGTCCGCGTCGGCAAATCCCGTTTACTTGACCTCACAAATTCATATGCCATTCCGAGCAATTTTCCCGGGTCAACAGCATCATGACCTGATTAGATTAC